TGCAGCAATTACTTCTCTATAAAGTTGTTATTGAACATTCCCAGGATTTCTTCCTTAACCTTTCCCAAAAGTGTCCTTATATTGTGGAATTGACTCTCACTAACTGTACTGGATGTGAGTATATCGACTTACCTGATGGTCAGTATAATAAACTAAAGAAACTCCGGGTGCATAATAGTTACTCAAAATATAGTCTTGGTTATGGTTACTCAGAAATATATATGTTGCAAAGGGTAAGAATTGCAGCACTAAATCTGGAGAGGTTTTACCTTTACTATAACGGAAAGTATCAGATTGACTTAGATATTGTGTATCCACTTTACGCCACCATCAACATCACATTGTTTCTTATAAAAGAGATAGCAGATGATAAGTTAACTAAACTAGGAGAACAAATGGCAATTTGATTAGTTTGTCTATCATATGATAGTTTAACGAAAGCTGGCTTTGCAGCCAGAATTTAATCTGCTCTGCCCTTCTTCAGTTACTTCACAATCCAACTTTCAGTGGGAAAGAATGGATTGTTTCTTCCTCCATCCAAATGCCCAACTTGTGAAGCTTCTGTATTAGTTGTTTATGTAACGACCCGACTTGTCATTTTAAGAATTTACGCCCCGTTCAGTGACTTAAGGTCTCGAGCAGTTTCGCAATATGTATTATGACCCGCGGGTGTGGTCGAGTTTGATTTTTCGGAAGATTCAGAATTTATTTGGAAGAACAATTCTTATTTAGAAGCTTAAATGGAAAGAGTTGACCGGGGAGTTAGACTTTTGAGCAAACGACCCCGCAATGGAATTTTGATGGTGTCAATAGCTTCGTATGATGATTTCGGACTTAGGCGTATGTTCAGATTTGGATTTGGAAGTCCGTAGGACAATTTGACGCATTTTGGCGAAAGTTGAAAAATAGAAGATTTTTGGAAAGTCCTACCGAATGTTGAATTTTCGATAACGAGGTCGGATTTCAATTCCGGAAATTGGAATAGCTCCATTACGTCATTTATGACTTGTGTGCAAAATTTGAGGTCATTCCGAATTGATTTGATATGTTTCGGCGCAAAATATAGAAGTTGGAAGATTTGAAAAACTTATAATTCGATTCGATGCGCGATTCGTAATTTCGGCGTTGTTTGATGTGGTTTGAAGCTGCGACTAAGTTCGTATTGTATTTTGGGACATGTTGGTATAATTGGTTGAGGTCCCGAGGGCCTCGAGCGAGTTTCGGATGGTTAAACGGACCAAAATTGTGCTTGAAGGAATTCTGGAATTTTTCCAGTTCTGGTACAATCGCACCTGCGATGGAAATGGTCGCAGGTGCGCGACCGCAAAAGCGACAAAATGGTCGCAGATGCGGCCTGGAGTGAAAAGGGCAGAGGTCGCAGGTGCGATGCATTTACCGCACCTGCGTGAGCGCAGAAGCGGAAGCTCTTCCGCAGGTGCGAGGGCAGTGCCAGTAGACGTCGCAGAAGCGAGAATTTGCGCGCAAAAGCGAGCTCGCAGGTGCGATAAAATGGTTCGCAGATGCGAAACTGGGCAGAATGTTAAGGACGAAAAATGGTCATTTCGCCATTTTTCGATTGAGATTTTGGAGCTCGGTTTTTGGGCGATTTTGGAGGAGTTCTTCAAGACTTTGACTTGGGTAAGTGTTCTATGTCCTAAAGTGATTATATTTCATGAATCTATGGTTATATTCATCGTTTAATTCGAGTTTAATGGAGGAAATGAGAATTTTTGTAAAAACTCTTCCAAAAACGAAAATTTAAGATTTGGAGGTCGAGTTGTTATCGAAATTTGATAAAATTGGTATGGTTGAACTCGTATTGGAATGGGTGTTCGTATTTCATGAAAATTATGTCGAGTTCCGAGAGGCGGACTCCGCGTTGACTTTTGTTGACTTTTTAGAATAAATTTTCAAATCGACGTTTTATTATCCGGAATTGTTTCCGATGAATTTTAATGAAGTTATGCAATTAATTTTGATAGATTTGAGCTGTCCGGAGGTCAATTCAAGCAAGAAGGCTATTTTGGAATATCGGCCTAACTTCAAAAAGGTAAGTATCTTGTCTAACCTCGAGCGGAGGAATTACTCCTTAGGCATCGAGTCTTATGTGCCATTTGTGAAATGTGAAAAGCCGTGTACGCGAGGTGAGGAGTACGTACCTGGGCTTATATGTGCAAAATTTATTGTGTATCCGCTTTGCAGCCAGAATTTAATCTGCTCTGCCCTTCTTCAGTTACTTCACAATCCAACTTTCAGTGGGAAAGAATGGATTGTTTCTTCCTCCATCCAAATGCTCAATTTGTGAAGCTTCTGTATTTGTTGTTTACTTTTTCTTATTCCTATTGCAGCTCGGAATAGTCCCTCTGAACTTCCATTGGTAAATTATCTTTTTCAAGTTCTTCTTTTAAGGGAGTTGACCTCCTCCTTCGTAGATGACCAACTACTTTTCTCGTCTGACTCGTCATAACTTGCTATGTGATCTTACACGTGTACTGCATCCATACTCTATTTGTAATTTAGGAAGGGTATGGACATGTATATAAGGTTACAGGTCTGTCTTTTTTGCATGTATGTTCTTCCGCAACCTCAGGTTATAGCACTCATTTTGCCTTGGTTTTGCTAGATCCATGTAAGAGTTCTTGAGTGCTCAATGTGTTAGATGTATTGTTCAGATATTCTCTGTCAACATTTGTGTGATCTGTGGTGAATATGGTGTTCAAATTTCTGAATAGAGTTATAGCAGGAGGTGAAGGAAACAAACAACTAGCCATAATATAAGCAGTATGAATACTTCAGATTTATCCGTCCAAAATATGAAAATAAAGATTAGTAGACTAGCTTCTAGTTTGTCCTTTTTATTGAATGGGTGAGATTGCTTCTAGGTTAATGTGATGATGGGATATTTTATGCCAAAAATTGAAAGGATGAAACAGCGAGCTAGTATACATATTTGTTGACGAATTGTAATTTTGTGACTTTTGATGCTTGGTGTTCATTTTCTAGGATAGGCATTATAGAAGTTAGCTTTAGTAGTTCCATTCATTTTCCCGTGGAAACTTGTCAAGTTAAACGGAAGCTAATCTAGCTCTAGCTTAAGATTTTTAGCCTTGTTGATATCTATGAAGTTTTAAACAGGAAACTGAAGCGTAATCTAGTATAGTTTACTGCTGGTATGATGGTTGGTGAGGAACTAAGGATCTTGACACTGAATATGTCCTATAAGATGGAGGACGCATTCACGGCTTTTATTCTACATTAGCAGGATCAAGATATTTAGGCTCAGATATCTCAAAGCAGAGGATATTTTACATGGATAACAATTCTTAAAGGTCAACCTGTCATATTTTGAGCTGCATGTGTAAGTTGGGCATACAAGGTCATTCACATGGGCAATTTCCAGCACACGCCTCTTGTTTTCTAGAGCTTTGAGGTAAGGACTGGTGATGCTGCATACAGAATGGCCATCTTAAACATCTGCAGGAGGAACTTGAAACTAACAGTTTCTTCTTAAGGATGCAGTATACTAACCTGCAGAATCTGTAGTCTGTATGATTGTCCTGTGCTTCGTATTCTTTCCATCTCAAATCATTTCCTCTATTACCGTATTTCCTGTTCCTTCTGTTTCAGTTTCCATGCTTGCGAACGATTTTCCCCCGTTAAAACTCTCTTTATTTATCTTAACAGGCCACTGAATAACACTCTCCATATGGTGAGTAACAGGCCTGAAAGATATGCTGAATTCCAGTTGGTATTGTTACTCCAAATTTACGTTCAATTAGATATGCTGGTGCAGGAATTACTAGGAACTTTGCTCCCATCAATGCTTCTAGTTTGTTTTTAACAAGGAAAGGTTTTGACTTCCCGTTCCTCTTCCTATCTTAGACATCCTTTATTTTCCCTTAATCTGAAATAGTTCAAGGGCAAAATTGGCCTTTCCCCCCTTGTTCCGAAGCAACCGTTAGACGTAAGAATTTTGAGGGGAGGGTAATTTTGAGCTAGTTGAGTAACACGAAGGCATGTTTGTGCCCAAAACGAAACATAGGGAAAAATTATTCATTGATCGGGGGTATTTTTGGCCATTTTCCGAATGATACAACAAAGATAAGAATAACTCAAATGCCACAAGAGAAATGGAGGGTGGAGTAAATGCGGGATCCATTAGCGATTGTTATTTTTCGGACATGGTCATTAACCAAACATGAGAAATTGAAAAGTATTTTCTGGATGATGTTCGTTCATACTAAATACAACATTAGTCGAAAATGGGTAATAAACTTGGGTAATTCGTTGTTTCCACATCAACCCCAATTTTAGAAAAAGAAAAGGAAAAATTAAAAATTCCACTTGAATATCTTAGTTCTAGTTAATATCCCCACCCTTTCATTTCTACTTGTTTTTTTTAAGAAGAGTTTGTAAGAAGGAAAAATAAAGCTAATTTTAAACGTTTTATTTTAGTCATTCTCCACCATAGGGACTGGCTTCAAGCCTTCAATTAAGCTTGTTCTCCACCTTAGAATCCAAAATACACTTCCTAATATAAACTGGTGAAATTCAAACATAACCAGATTTACAATTGATAATTAAAAAATAGCAACAGTTTCAAAAGTAATCGAAATTTAGCCATTTTTCGTGTAAAGATAAAATCTGAACAAAAACACTATTAAAAATTCGGAAATAATATGCTGGAGTTCGAAATTTTTACATATACTGATGAGCTTCCAGCATAATATGCTGGAATTTTATAATGTACGGGAGTTCCATCATAATATGTTGGAAGTTTATATGCAGGAGCTCCATAATCCCGCATATTATGCTAGAACTTTCTGTGTCCTGGAGTTTCAACATAATATGCTGGAAGTTTATACGCAAGAGCTCCATAATCTAACATATTATGCTGGAACTTTCCGTGTTTCAGCAAAACATTGGCTATTTTTCAATGACTTCGCAAACACTTGCTATTTTTCGATCATTTGTCCAAAAAATGGCTAGCCCGTGCTATTTCCACAATATAAACAGTAAAGCATAATGGCAAAATTTGTTTTATACCATTCACTGCAGAAATAAACTAAGAGTAGTAGATAATTCTTCCGAAGTTAGTTTGCAGTATCTTCAATGCGAAAAAGATTACGCAAACACTAAGACCCACTATAGGGAAGCTCTAGTGGTATTCACATATTTGGTCCTGTCACAACTCCCAGATACTACAATAATAAGTTTTAACTTAATATACACAAGTAGAAGACAACCAAACATTAAGATGGTGCCATAAAATGCAGGTAGATAGACTATTCTTTCAACAATTAATTGCAACAACTGTCTCACATTCGTCTAACCCACAAAATGATCACTTGGGCAAATGATTAGACTCTACGTGGTTTTCGCTCAAAATTGACCTCACAGACAACATTCTCACTGTCCTCCTGATCTTAATCAAATTGTCTCTAGAAATAATATCAAGTTTGTCACACTGAACTTCAATGCAAGTTGAGAAACCATCCCAGCAAACTTTGAGTTGTCCTTTAGTTCCCGCCACAGACTCATTTTTCACATTTACTCAAAGCAGTCCCCACCAAAACTCAAATCTTTTTATCAGATGAACTTTCTTGAATGACTAGTCATATGCAGTAAAGACAACTTACAATGCAGAAGTCCATTCAGCTGGATCGGCCAGAAAGCCCCCGAAATGATTCTAATGGTACCAACCACGTCCACAACCAACGCATAGTTGAAACTGAAACAGCTGACGGCTTCAAGAAGAAAGAACAATCATGGTAAGAATCTTAAAACCGTAAGCTTCAGTTTTTAGTTTGATCATGTAATTTTCCCATACTAAAAAAAACATTTCCTTTTTTGTTTTAGCTTTTGTTTGTTTGTTTGTTTGTGCTTTTCATCTGTTTTCAGGTTTGCGACTTGTCAGATTCCAACTGATCTCTCAATTCAAGTTGAAGATGTCACCTTCCACGTTCACAAGGTAACTACGGAGATTATATCCAAACTAATCGAAGCTTATAATTCATACGAAAGAATTCAGATAGGAAGCACCATAACTGGAAATAACAACAAAAGAGAGTAAGTTGCTTTTCCTAATTAACACACGAAGAACATGATTATAATTCTATTCAATCATTAAGAATATACTGCTGTATAAGGTGTCAATATATGATCACCTGTATAATTCCAAAAGAAGCCTTCCTTGACTTATCATTGAAATAACCTTGTAACATTCTTGCCAGCTTGGGAGAACAGAACAAGAAAGTGAAGATATTGACCTGAAAAAAGGTTAAAAGAGTGCTGCAATAATAGAAGAGTTTAGAAAATAAAAAGAACAAACTAGGAGTCAGCAGTCAGAAAGAGAATAATAAAAATACAAACAAGTGAAGCAATATAAAAGAGAATTTTAAGCCCCTTTTTTCACTTCTTGGAGTTCTGCAATAATGTATTCATACCCAAAAAAAAAGGAACAAAAGAGTGCTGCAATGTTGTGATTACCTGTTATTTACCTATCCTCACACATTCACCGGCTTATGAGAAGTTGATTCAAGTTCATATACTCCTGAAACAGTATCCACTGGTTTCAAAGTGTGGCTACCTAAGAACAGTTGAGCTTCCGCCGCCAAATTCACATTTAGGTTATGACCTCAAGCTTGAAAAGTTTCCAGGCGGATCTGAAACTTTTGAGATCATATTGAAATTCTGTTATGGCCTACCTATAAGCCTGAACCCTGACACTGTCGCAGCAACAAGATGTGCCTCAGAATTTCTAGATATGACAGAAGCAATGGAAGATGGAAACTTAATTGCCAAGACAGAAGCCTTCTTCACATTTGTAGTCCTCTCATCATGGAACGACACCGTCACTGTCCTTAGATCATGTGAGATTCTATCACCATGGGCAGAAAACCTTCAGATTGTTAGAAGGTGTTGCGACTCAATCATTTCGAAGATTTCCAGAGGAAATTCAGCTGAGGAGATGCTGATTGAAGAGAACTGGTGGTTAAAAGATGTTACTACTCTCCATATTAGCCATTTCTTACGGATAATCACAGCACTGAGGGCAAAAGAAATGAAGCCTGAAATCATTGGCTCATGTATCATACGCTATGGGGAAAAATGGTTGCCAAGCACGGACACCAAAACAGAAGGAACAGGAAAGTATGGTAACAGAATAAATGATTTTCAAGTCATGAGTGGGAGGAAGCAAGAAACGAACATTGGACAGAATAAGGAGCGTAGGACAATCATAGAGAGTCTTGCTAGTATACTGCCTCCTCAAAAGGAAGCTGTTCCTTGCAAGTTCCTCCTGTGGATGTTAAAGAAGGCTATTGTGTATGCAGCATCACCAGTTCTAGTTTTAGAGCTCGAGAAAAAAATCGGCATGGTGCTGGAAAATGCCAGCGTGAATGATCTTCTGATCCCTACTAATTCAGTAGGTGAACAAACAATAGAGTGAGTTTCTATCATTTGATTTAGCACATTGCTCTAAAGGTCAATCTTTCAATTTTCATCTCCGTACTAATTCAGTGATTTCTATCATATCATTTGAGGATTCCAACATAGAGTCTTACCAAATTCCGTTAATGGTTCATCCAGTTCAACTGAAAAACAGACCATGCACAATTTAGAAGCTGTACAAAGGATTTTGGATTATTTCTTGATATACGAAAAACAACAGCTACAGCAACAAGGATTGAAGTCTACAGCATCGAATATCAGTAAACTGGTTGACAGCTACCTAGCAGAAATTGCAAGTGATCCCAATGTCTCCATCGACAAGTTCCAAGTTTTAGCTGAATCTTTGCCACGAGAAGCTCGAGCAAGTCATGATGGCCTCTATCGAGCCATTGATACATACCTCCAGGTCTCTCTCTCTCTCTCTCTCTCTCACTTATATACTTCCTGATTTACAATTAGATTAAGAATACTAGTGGTTTAATATTTTCCATAGACTCATCCTTCATTGTCAGAGCATGACCGTCGAAGGCTGTGCAAGATTATGGACTGTGGGAAGTTCTCACTTGACGCATGCGCACATGCAGCACAAAATGACAGGTTGCCTCTAAGAATTGTTATCCAGGTATAACTGCAAAAAGATTTCGAGTCCTAAACATCACGATCGAGCTAAACTATATAAAAGCCGACAATGAGCCCTTCATATTGTAAGGCATATTCAGTCTCTAGATCCTTACCAAGCATCATGGCAGAAGTAAACAATAGCATAATACAATTCAGTTTCTTACTTAAAACTTTCTAGATGTCAACAAGTCCAGAGTCTTACGCTAGAGCAAGTTAGCTTTTATTTGACTTTGCAAAGTTGAATGGTGAAATAAGTGGATATAATAGCGCTAACTTCTATGGCACCCGGAAGTGTGGCCCAGTGGTCAATGAAGTGGGTTGACAACTATGAGGGCTCAGACTCAAATCCCAATCGAGGCAAAAAATACTAGGTGAGTTCTTCCCATTTGTCCGAACTTTGTTGGGTAGAGTTATTCGGTACCTACACTGGTGGGAGGTAGCAGATACCCGTGAAGTTAGTCGAGGTGCGCGCAAGCTAGCTCGAATACCACGATTATCCAAAAAAAAAAATAGAACTAACTTCTATGTGCCAATCCTAGAAATGTGCAGGCATCAAAAGCCTCAAAATCACAATTTGATAGTCTTACACATTAATTAGCTTGCCATTGCATCCTTTTATTTTTAGGCACAAAATGCTCGAAACCAAATATTGTAAAATTCAAACCTAGAAGCATCTGACCCATTTAGGTAAAAGACAAATTAGAAACTAGTCTACCAATCTTTATTTTCTTACTTTGAATGGCTAAATCTGAAATAGTCCTCCTGTGTATCTTAGGGCAAGTTGTTTGTTTTCCTCGCCTCTTTTTCGAACAATATATCAGATATATGAACACCTTATCCACCTCAGAATTCAGATAACACCAATACTATTAGCACATGCAACAAAAGGACCAGAAGAATAGACCTTATCTGAACATACTAGATGCATCAGGACATGGTGGAGCTTCATAGAACCAGCAAACATGTGAAACTTGAGGCACATATCTGGAAGAAAGCTGCAGGAGTGAAATTGCAATAAGAATGTCTAAGATGGATTGCTCTCGTGGGTGAAAACTTTGGATATCAGGGTTCAAATCACAACGGAGACAAAAAAATGCTAGGTGATTTCTCTCCATCTGCCTAAGTTTGGTAGGCAGAACTACTAGGTGGGAGGGAGTAGGTGTGGTAGAACAATGGAGATGCGAGCAAGCTGAACCCAACACACCGTAAGGGTTATCAAAAAATAAGCTTGCAAAAAGACATATATGTACCAAAACAAGACCAAATAGCCTTCTAAACATGCTCATAAACTTATGAATTAAAAAGAGAGAAACTTGCAGGTTTTGTTCTCAGAGCAAGTGAAGATGAAGGCTGCAATACAAGGGAAAGATCATATAACAAGTGATGACGAGTCAGACAAGGAAAGTAGTCAGTCACCTTCCAAGAAGGAGGTCAAGTCCCTTAAAGAAGAACTTGAAAAAATAAAGATACAAATGGAAGAGCTTCAGAGGGACTACTCGGAACTGCAACACGATTATGAAAAAGTAAACAACAAAAATAGAAAAACAACCTGGACTTTTGGGTGGAGGAAGAAAAAATCTGCTCTTTCCGATGGAAAACTGGATAGAGAAGTAACTGAAGAAGGCCATTATAGATCAAATGTAGGCTGTAAAGCGGGCTCTCGTCGAAGGCAGTCTATATCCTAAGATCCTATAGTTGTGCTTCTTATCAGATCAGACAGAGTGTCAAATTACAAAGTGTTCATCTAATTTAATGAACTCGTCATCTACCATCTTGTTTGTAAGTAACTATGTAATAATGTTATCACTAATGGTCAGTGGCGGACCCAGGATTTTGTGCAAGCGGGTTCAATCTTAGAAGTACATAACTTTAGTCGTAAAATAGTAGTTGTCAAGTGGGTTCAAATAAAATATTTATACAAAATTTACACAGCTTTAATCATAATTTATACATATACACAGTATTATTTTTTGATGAAGCGGGTTTAACTAAACCCGCTTGCCACCACGTGCGTCCGCCCCATTAGTAATGGTTGCATCACCTGCATAATGCAGAAACACAGTCATTTATCTAAGTGGCATTTATACTTCACAACAGAACCAGTATCTTCTGTTCAACAGATCAGGATCCCATCATTTCCCTATAAAGAATAGAAATCAATCATATCACACTTCCAGTAAAAAGTCCTCTTGATCTTGAAGATTTCTTCTTTCTTTGATCAATTGTTTTATGTAGCTGTGGCTTCCCACAACAAAAAAAAGAAGAAAAAGGAGGAGGAGATATGAACTTCCTAATACACATTTTTAGCCTGACAATGATAAAGAGAAGTCTGACCTCATTTCTTCTTGCACCGGGCAAGCTTTCTCATTTAAAAATTGGAGATTACTAAATCACAAACAGTTTATTCAACACAATTTCAAGTACCATCTGTGATTATCCATGTAAGAAACAATACAAAAGAAACTCATCATATTCCAGCTTTTAACTCACAATCAAATTATCTCCAATGAATGAAGGTAAATACATAGAACTTCAAAGTTCAAACAATTATAGAGAAGTTGACACCAGGATAATACACCACCATTACTAAACTGAGCTATGGAAGCACTTAACCCAAAAAACTCTCTGACAAAGATCTCCTCATTCCAATTGAGGAAACCTACCTAGCAGCATAAGACCTCATACTGCTCCATGGGAACTTTGCTGGTGCTGCACCAACATTACTCCGATCTCCATCATAGCCACGACTAGTGCTCGTCTCTAATTTAGACCTCCCACATTTCTTCCCGTCAAGCCAATGCATCTTCTTAGGTTCATCATCCTCAACACTGCTAGATTTTGATTTCTTGCTCGTATTCTTCTTCTCCTCTTCGAGTATCCGGACTGGATATAGATCCGATGAGATAGACAACGGGTTCTTAAGAGTAACATATGCCTTTTATAGTCTGGTTTAGCTATCAACAACCCACCTCTCTTCTTCTTCTTCTTCTTCCCATCCATGTTAAGGGTTTAGACCTTTTCCACCTCAAATCCGTATAGTGACTCCAAATTTCTCTTTATCTCAATCTGTACAAATAATCCAACGCACCTTTGATACTAAGTTCTTCGTTCATATTTCAATTTAACTTGTATGAATTAGTATTTCTCTCGTTTTGTCAATGTGTATATAAAAATCCTAGAAACTTCTTGAAGCTAAGTTTCCAAATCATATTTTCATATCACTTGTATGAAAAAATACCTCTTTATTTCGATCTGTATCGAAAAATAAAAACTCTATATGTTACACGTTTAAGAAAAAAATGAACTTTTTACAAAAGCTAAATATGCTTAAAATATAAAAATACTCTAGCAATGACTACAGAAAAAAATGTATAGCAAAGTTTTTTGGAGTGCTTTTTATGTCTATGTACATAAAATTCCAATAAAATCCTAAAAGCAACTAATACCCATCACAATTCTAAAACTAAATGCTTAAAAGAATTCCTCCTTTTATCTGAACAAATGAATAAAAATTTCCAAGAGAACTTTTGAAACTAAGTTTTGAAATAATGCATCAATACTAAATGCATCAATACAACAACCACCCAGTATCTACGTTGTTAGGATCGGAAACCCGGGTAGTGCGGAATATAGCCAAACAACGGTATAATGGCAATAACAAAGACAATGGAAGTTGATAACAACGACAATTAAAGTAGATAAAGAAGACACAAATTTAACGTGGTTTGGTCAAAGTGACCTACGTCCACAAGCGGAGTGTGGCAATTTACTATAACAATAAGAGTACAAAAGAGAGTACAAAATTAGAGTAAATATTCTAATTAATCCCAAATACCCTAAGAGAATAACCTCACAAGATCACTCCAAAGAAAGGGTTCACACAAGTGCTTCCCAACACTAACTCTCATACAAAACACTCTTAATAAAGGAAGAAAGGAAGAAACAAGAATTGAAGACAAGTCTTGTTGGTGTATCTACAAATGAGGAGAAACTCCTCTATTTATAGCAAGAAATTCTTAGCCTAATAATGGATACTATGTCATGGCAAATGTCATGATCCACAAATTTATTATAATGGATATTATGTCATGGCAAATGTCATGAACCACAAATTTGTTATAATGGATATTATGTCATGGCAAATGTCAT